AATGACTTGATTTGTTGGATAATTCAATTTGCTGCTTTTTATGGCACGTAATTCACCACTATTATAGTAATAAATTTGTACTAGATTTAACACAATTGTGTGTTTTTTAATGTTTTCCAATTTGTTCTAATCATTAACCTTTAAAAAACTATTTCATTTATGGTGGTGATTTATTTTTCTAATTACGTAACAAATTAAAGAGAAAAAAAAAAGATTGATGTTTTACAAATATAAGATTTTTTATATCTAAAAAAGAGATTAGTATACTTAAGTTTATCAAATTTAATTATAATATTATTTTTTGTTTAACTAGTTCATAAAAAACTAATATCTTGATCATAGGACCCCAAAAAATTGTGTCAATCACAATAAACGCTATTATACATCATATGTTAAATGATATAAACGTATAAACATTTAAAGAAGAAATAAATAAAATGAATAGTATTTATCTCCAAGTGGTGGAGACAAACTTAAAATCCATCGGTTTTTATATCAAAGGTCATAATACATTTTGTACAGAAAAAAGAAATAAAATTTTGTTACATATATTTTAATTTAATGGTTTTGGTTAAATGAAAGTATTTTTGAAAAAAAATATTTTTTATTATTTTATCATTTTGTTTATATGTTTTATTTTTAAATAAATATCCTTTAAACATCATCAACAAGTAAAATAAAAATTATGAGAATTTTTTTTTTAAAAATGCTCTTTAAGCGGAATTAGTGAGGTGAATAATTCTAATTCACATATATTGAATGAAGTTAATATAATAATACATAAACAAGCTAGTGACCAAAACGTTCATGGATCGATGTTTGTAGCCAAAACTGTGAACCCTAGAAAGTCTAGAATCACAACTTGTAATTTGAAGCAAACCTCACTAAAAACATTTTTTGTAAACTACACGTTTTGTTCCTAAACTATCACTTTTGTTCCATTTTCGTACATACTTTTTTTTAAAAAAAATCATACCTAATATTAACTTTTTGTTTCACTTTGGTATCTTACCGTTAAAAACTTAACATAATTGTTATACATGGCACTTTTATGAGTAAAATTATATCATTCATCACTCAACTATTTTCTTCACCCCTAATTTAGTTACTGAAGTTTACTTTTTTAAAATTTAATTACTTAACTTTCAAATTACTCCTAATTTAATCATTTTAATTTTCAAATTTATTTTTTTTTTTAATTAATATTAATAAAATGATAATAAAATTTTCATGTCATAAAAATTATTAATAAAATAAATTAGAATGATTAAACCAAGAGCAATTTGAATGTTAAGTAGTTAAATTGAAAATTATATAACTTTAGGGGCCAAAATAGGAGTGTGAAGATAGTTGAGCTATTAATGATGTAATTTACTCATAAAAATGTCACGTACAACAGTTCTGTTAGGTTTTTAAAGACAAAGTACCAAAATGAAACCTAAACTAACGTTAGATATGTTTTTGAAAAAGGTTTATGTAACCCCCTCAGACCGATGCGAGTAGCCCGATCCGATCTGGAGTGTCACATTAGGGCCACCGGAGCGACCCACTGTAAAAATAGCAGAAAATTTAAAACTTTTCTTAAAACATGTAAAATCATAAATGATTTATTATTATTCAGAAATAAAATAGGTTTTTCAAACTCAAATATAAATCAAAATACAATTACATGCCCCCTAATCACAAGTACCATACTCTGCAACCACGCCGGAAGAACTCCCTTACTGAAGTCGATAGATGCACTGGTACAATTGTTTTAACCTGAAAAGGTGAGTAATAGAGTGAGCTTTGGAAAGCTCAGTAATACAGAACTACCAGATGATGCTACATGACATGTAGATAAATGGAAAGCCATATAATTTCCTTATTGAATCATATGTATACCAGCTTGCAGAATAATTTGGGGTTCCCTTAGAAGTTCATCGAGTAGAAGCCATGAATCTCAGTTCATAAGAAACCTTTCAAAGTATGACATTTTCAGGAGATCGAATAGGATGTCTAGTGTGTTCCAACAGTATAATAAAATCATAATAGGTACAAATCATAGTCCAGTAAATCTCACAATTTCGTAAAAGAGTTTAACTTTTGAAAATCATAATTTAAACCCTTTTATGGTACACCATCAGTAGTTCCTAAAAATTATTTTCCATATAGCTTACTTTATGCACATAGCAAAAAGAAAGCCGACTTAAGGATAGGCTATGAAGCTTGTATCCTTAAGCCCAAGTCAATAAGTCCATATAGCTTACCCTAAGCACACAGCAAAGGAAAGTCGACCTAATGAAACATCTTGGGGCCCTCAAGAGTCACATTAGGTCCATTTAGCTTGATCAGAGCTATTCCATCGTAATTTAATTCCAAAATTCAATTGCACCGTGACATAAATTCCATAAATTCAAAAACATGGTAATCATATACCATTTCAAAACAAAAATTAGATAGCAGCCATATTCCATAAATTGTCACATTAAATTGGTGCATCCATAAAACAATAACCAATGAATTCGGTGTACCACATATTAAAACCAATAAAACAGTTCAGTAATAAGTAGGGAACACACTAGAGAATCCAAGTATTTTCAGAGGCCATTGTAGTTATCATTTTGGATAACATGAAACTTATGAAATTTGATCGAATTCCAGCAATAAGGTCCTATTGAGGAGAATCGATTACTAACCGATCTAGCCAGACATTTAAGGTTGATACATTAGAATCCCACTATATTTTCGTGTGCATTAGGAAAACGTTCAGGAACCTTTATACATAATAATTCTAAATTCAGATTTACTGCGAGTGATTCCATTACCCATACAATCAGGAGTATTCAGGAATATACTTTGAATTCATAGGATTTCAGCCCAATTGAACCAAATGAGATATTCAGAATCTTTTCCTTCTGCGTTACTTGTTTTTTTTCTTTCAAACATGATCGAAGTGATTTTAGATGAAATATAGAATCGAGATTCAAGTCATTTACAATCTACGACTATCGATCATATTATCAAACAACTCGAGTTACACAACTCTCAAACTGATGCATGTCAACAAGTCAATTCATTATCCTTCCAGTGTATTCACGCTTTAATACCATAATACAGATCCATAGATCATCCCCATAATCATCACTGAATAAATCTTCCAACGGTCTTTATTTCATTTCCACGTTTCAACAATGTCAGGAAATACTAACGTACTTGATCCATGGCTCATAACCCATAATGACAATTCATCATGTAAGTTCAACAGTGTTTACAAACTCATCAAATCACCTATTTACTCCTCAGTCATTGAGGTTACTTAGTTCGTTTAGTAAGCAAGTCTATCTCGGTTACTTTAGAGTTTTCCAGAATAATTCAGACATTTCTGAATTTCAAATACATGTTGTACTTCCTTTCAGTTCAATTTAGTCATATAATAAAGTCATTATGGTATTCGTGGTTGATTTGTCTCACGAATACCCACTTATTAGTACTGTATGCGCTCTATAGTTGAGCTGAGCCAAGTACTTCCAGAATTATCATTGCTCCAAATTTGAGAAGACGAACAAACATTCAAGTGGTAACTATATCATTCAGGTAATGATATAGCACTAGCGTTGGTTGATCACTTAAGTTGCATTCCATAATTTTTACTGGTAGCACAACATCCATGTTTATTTTGATTTCTTAATTAATCCAAGACATTTACTTATTATAGGTCATAAGGGTGTTTTGGTCATTTCACAGATCCATTGTATTACAATCATTTCCGTCTATCCGATCTTATTATTAAATTTAAACTTATCATTTACTTCAATCCTTTCAAACAATTCTGACAAAAGAGCATCATTGATAAATCATTCTTCAGGTATTTACTTATAACTCCGATATTTTCGGGTTAAGTGTCTTCTCAGATTTTACAAACGGAATATCATGAATTTTTCTGCACAAAGACAAGATCTTAACAATTAAATTCATACTTAATCGAGTTAAGTACAAATCCTCAAAGTATTTTCTCCTTCAAGGTCAACTCAGATTATTTTACCTCTCAAGGCATTTTCGTAATTTCTTAATCAGATAATTTTCGATATTAGCTCTTAACGAAAATAATTATAATTTAAAGATCCTATGGTCAATTGCTTTCCCGAACATTCTCTGATCTTTAAATTATTCCTTAACAAACTTCTAGCATATTGCGCAAACCCTTTTTGGCGTTAAAACCAGTTATCCAAATTTTCTAAACAAAATCATTATTTCTTATGCACATCTATAATTATATCGGATCAATATATCTTTTCAGAGTTATTAACCAACTTCCAGGGATAATTCTTGTTATCCTACAACATAAGGGTATTTTCATAATTTTTCACTACGGAGTATTCTCATAATTTCATCATCCAAGTACTTTTATAGAGATAAATTATAATTCACATAGTTAGGACTAATTCCTTTATCACTCAATCATAGAACTTGTAATTCAAGAGAGTCTTAACTAATTTATCACTTAAATTGTATTCGGTTCGAATCCATCCATAATCAAACAGACATGATAGACCAATCATATATATGTCCATGTATTTATCCATTATCAACATGTTCCATAAAGCATAAAGAGGTAGTAAAGCATTACCTCGATTTTTCGTGCCATATTGGTCGACCATTTAAATTTCATTCGAACGTCCTTGATCTTTGATTCAACTTCCAATATTTTCCTCTCGATCCAGACCATCAAAATTACTAACTCGTATCCAAATAATTTCCTCGCCATAAAGATAGCTTATTAGAATTTAAATAATAATTTGGAAACCCCATTAGTATAATCGAATACTTGTGGGGTTACTTTAATAATTAATCATTAAAATTAGGGACTGAACCGAATTAATTTGCACTATTGAGCCACAAACAAAACTAATGGAAACTAGGAGACAAGTTCAAGTTCTTACCAAACATGGAGGACTCATGATTGTGATTTTTCCACTTTATTTTTCTAGACACCACCCAAGTGATTTTTCATGTTGGAATCATAAACTCATTTTTTTTGTAAATTCCTGTGAAGCAAAGTTTATGCCGCCACCAATCGTATCTCCTGTTTTATATGTTAGACCAAAAGCATCTCCCTTTGCTTGCCCAAGATAGAGCCTACCATCATCCCCATGATACCCGCAATTATTTACTTCCCACCCCGATTGTCTGCGCATCTTGAAGCCTTCACTGGTGAATACAATAGCAGTTTGACCCTTGACTCCAACGTCCTTCAAATAAATCTCGAAGTGATAATCCAGACACTTTACAGGAATCGGGTTATTGCCTTGAACCACACCGACATCATGGCCATGGAGGCTTACGGCAGTATACTTCATCGACAACTTATCAGGCGCCACCACCAAGAACCCTGCCATGCTATTAATCGTGTTGAGCTTAGTCGGTACCACCTCCTCATCCTCTTCCATCCCCACCGGAGCCTTAGACGAGTCGATCCGAGCCAGCTCCAAGAAGTATAAACCGAGATCTTGGCTTAAGCTATCGAAACTGTTGTTGATTCCGTTGTTGCACTGGCTGGAGTTCATTTTTACCAAAGATATCTAAAAAGGAAACTCCAAAATTTTGTTTTAAGATATCCTTTTGTTCTTTGGGTTTTATTTTTAAAGTTTCGGTCTTTCCTGGAAGAAAAATGATTTTTCCTACAATTATTGAAATAGATAATATAAAATATGGTTGGTGGAGGTTGAGGTGCAGTCTGGGGAGGGTAAACAAAAGATCCAATGTATTTTAGTTCAAATTTCTCCATCCTGATTTCAGCCTTGATCAAATATTGAGACACGTGTCTGATTTAAAGCCTATGTATTAATCCTAATGGTTATTATTATTTATTCCTTAAAAACATCACGTCCCACCCTTAACTAAGCTACAGATGCGTTGAAAGTTAACACAAGTGGAAATTTTGATTACAAAAATACATGTTGAAGAAATGTCCCTCAACTACACGAGCTTGTTTAAACAAACTCTAACATTTTTTTATTTAGTTAAGCTTTTTAGCCTTTTATTTATATACAAGAAAACCTTTCATTTTAATCCAAAGAGGGGTTAATTTACACATAAAGTCCCTTAATTCCACTTAACATTTCTAGTTAATCCAACTTTACGATTTTACAATTAAATCCTTAATTTCTTCCAAAATACCACTTTAAAATTAATACTAAAAAATTATAAAATTTAGCCCCTAAATTGGGGTGTGACAATTCTCCCCTCCTTAAAAGAATTTCGTCCTCGAAATTCATTCATGTCTCATAATTGCATAAATGAAATTTCCATCAGTTCTTTCATATCTTTCATGTAGCTCTTATAGAAATACAGATCCTCAATTAATCTTTAACCAGTTGATTATACATTCTTATCAGAACTCTTCCTCATTTCAATAAAAGAATCCGAACGAAAATTTCCTTGAGTAATCAATTCACTCTTGGTTACGAAAATAGGCTCATGGAGTTGTAACATATCCAAATTTTATTTCCAGTGTCAAGTCAGAATTTCTCAGATGAATAACTCTCACATGGTTCGTGAGGTACTTTACAGCGTTTAGACAGATGATAATGGTATTCCTTTTTGTACAACTATAGCCTTAACGGATAGAAACTTCGGTTTACTAGTTATAGATAGGTACTCAGCCTTGGAGTTCCGACTCAGAGAGGTACGATTGTAGTCTAGGGGCATGTACTGATCAGACATATTTTGACATTCGACCGGCCGGTATATCTTGAAAACTTTTGATTCAAACCATGGCTCTGATACCACTAAATGTAACCCCCTCAGACCGATGCGAGTAGCCCGATCCGATCTGGAGTGTCACATTAGGGCCACCGGAGCGACCCACTGTAAAAATAGCAGAAAATTTAAAACTTTTCTTAAAACATGTAAAATCATAAATGATTTATTATTATTCAGAAATAAAATAGGTTTTTCAAACTCAAATATAAATCAAAATACAATTACATGCCCCCTAATCATAAGTACCATACTCTGCAACCACGCCGGAAGAACTCCCTTACTGAAGTCGATAGATGCACTGGTACAATTGTTTTAACCTGAAAAGGTGAGTAATAGAGTGAGCTTTGGAAAGCTAAGTAATACAGAACTACCAGATGATGCTACATGACATGTATATAAATGGAAAGCCATATAATTTCCTTATTGAATCATATGTATACCAGCTTGTAGAATAATTTGGGGTTCCCTTAGAAGTTCATCGAGTAGAAGCCATGAATCTCAGTTCATAAGAAACCTTTCAAAGTATGACATTTTCAGGAGATCGAATAGGATGTCTAGTGTGTTCCAACAGTATAATAAAATCATAATAGGTACAAATCATAGTCCAGTAAATCTCACAATTTCGTAAAAGAGTTTAACTTTTGAAAATCATAGTTTAAACCCTTTTCTGGTACACCATTAGTAGTTCCCAAAAATTATTTTCCATATAGCTTACTTTATGCACATAGCAAAAAGAAAGCCGACTTAAGGATAGGTTATGAAGCTTGTATCCTTAAGCCCAAGTCAATAAGTCCATATAGCTTACCCTAAGCACACAGCAAAGGAAAGCCGACCTAATGAAACATCTTGGGGCCCTCAAGAGTCACATTAGGCCCATTTAGCTTGATCAGAGCTATTCCATCGTAATTTAATTCCAAAATTCAATTGCACCGTGACATAAATTCCATAAATCCAAAAACATGGTAATCATATACCATTTCAAAACAAAAATTAGATAGCAACCATATTCCATTAATTGGCACATTAAATTGGTGCATCCATAAAACAATAACCAATGAATTCGGTGTACCACATATTAAAACCAATAAAACAGTTCAGTAATAAGTAGTGAACACACTAGAGAATCCAAGTATTTTCAGAGGCCATTGTAGTTATCATTTTGGATAACATGAAACTTATGAAATTTGATCGAATTCCAGGAATAAGGTCCTATTGAGGAGAATCGATTACTAACCGATCTAGCCAGACATTTAAGGTTGATACATTAGAATCCCACTATATTTTCGTGTGCATTAGGAAAACGTTCAGGAACCTTTATACATAATAATTCTAAATTCAGATTTACTGTGAGTGATTCCATTACCCAAACAATCAAGGGTATTCAGGAATATACTTTGAATTCATAGGATTTTAGCCCAATTGAACCAAATGAGATATTCAGAATCTTTTCCTTCTGCGTTACTTGTTTTTTTTCTTTCAAACATGATCGAAGTGATTTTAGATGAAATATAGAATCGATGATTCAAGTCATTTACAATCTATGACTATCGATCATATTATCAAACAACTCGAGTTACACAACTCTCAAACTGATGCATGTCAACAAGTCAATTCATTATCCTTCCAGTGTATTCACGCTTTAATAACATAATGCAGATCCATAGATCATCCCCATAATCATCACTGAATAAATCTTCCAACGATCTTTATTTCATTTCCACGTTTCAATAATGTCAGGAAATACTAACGTACTTGATCCATGGCTCATAACCCATAATGACAATTCATCATGTAAGTTCAACAGTGTTTCCAAACTCATCAAATCACCTATTTACTCCTCAGTCATTGAGGTTACTTAGTTCGTTTAGTAAGCAAGTCTATCTCGGTTACTTTAGAGTTTTCCAGAATAATTCAGACATTTCTGAATTTCAAATACATGTTGTACTTCCTTTCAGTTCAATTTAGTCATATAATAAAGTCATTCTGGTATTCGTGGTTGATTTGTCTCACGAATACCCACTTATTAGTACTGTATACGCTCTATAGTTGAGCTGAGCCAAGTACTTCCAGAATTATCATCGCTCCAAATTTGAGAAGACGAACAAACATTCAAGTGGTAACTATATCATTCAGGTAATTATATAGCACTAGCGTTGGTTGATCACTTAAGTTGCATTCCATAATTTTTACTGGTAGCACAACATCCATGTTTATTTGGATTTCTTAATTAATCCAAGACATTTACTTATTATAGGTCATAAGGGTATTTTGGTCATTTCACAGATCCATTGTATTACAATCATTTCCGTCTATCCGATCTTATTATTAAATTTAAACTTATCATTTACTTCAATCCTTTCAAACAATTCTGACAAAAGAGCATCATTGATAAATCATTCTTCAGGTATTTACTTATAACTCCGATATTTTCGGGTCAAGTGTCTTCTTAGATTTTACAAACGGAATATCATGAATTTTTCTGCACAAAGACAAGATCTTAACTATTAAATTCGTACTTAATCGAGTTAAGTACAAATCCTCAAAGTATTTTCTCCTTCAGGGTCAACTCGGATTATTTTACCTCTCAAGGCATTTTCGTAATTTCTTAATCAGATAATTTTCGATATTAGCTCTTAACGAAAATAATTATAATTTAAAGATCCTATGGTCAATTGCTTTCCCGAACATTCTCTGATCTTTAAATTATTCCTTAACAAACTTCTAGCATATTGCGCAAACCCTTTTTGGCGTTAAAACCAGTTATCCAAATTTTCTAAACAAAATCATTATTTCTTTTGTACATCTATAATTATATCGGATCAATATATCTTTTCAAAGTTATTAACCAACTTCCAAGGATAATTCTTGTTATCCTACAACATAAGGGTATTTTCATAATTTTTCACTACGGAGTATTCTCATAATTTCATCATCCAAGTACTTTTATAGAGATAAATTATAATTCACATAGTCAGGATTAATTCCTTTATCACTCAATCATAGAACTTGTAATTCAAGAGAGTCTTAACTAATTTATCACTTAAATTGTATTCGGTTCGAATCCATCCATAATCAAACAGACATGATAGACCAATCATATATATGTCCATGTATTTATCCATTATCAACATGTTCCATAAAGCATAAAGAGGTAGTAAAGTATTACCTCGATTTTTCGTGCCATATTGGTCGACCATTTAAATTTCATTCGAACGTCCTTGATCTTTGATTCAACTTCCAATATTTTCCTCTCGATCCAGACCATCAAAATTACTAACTCGTATCCAAATAATTTCCTCGCCATAAAGATAGCTTATTAGAATTTAAATAATAATTTGGAAACCCCATTAGTATAATTGAATACTTGTGGGGTTACTTTAATAATTAATCATTAAAATTAGGGACTGAACCGAATTAATTTGCACTATTGAGCCACAAACAAAACTAATGGAAACTAGGAGACAAGTTCAAGTTCTTACCGAACATGGAGGACTCATGATTGTGATTTTTCCACTTTATTTTTCTAGACACCACCCAAGTGATTTTTCATGTTGGAGTCATAAACTCATTTTTTTTGTAAATACCTGTGAAGCAAAGTTTATGCCGCCACCAATCGTATCTCCTGTTTTATATGTTAGACCAAAAGCATCTCCCTTTGCTTGCCCATGATAGAGCCTACTATCATCCCCATGATACCCGCAATTGTTTACTTCCCACCCCGATTGTCTGCGCATCTTGAAGCCTTCACTGGTGAATACAATAGCAGTTTGACCCTTGACTCCAACGTCCTTCAAATAAATCTCGAAGTGATAATCCAGACACTTTACAAGAATCGGGTTATTGCCTTGAACCACACCGACATCATGGCCATGGAGGCTTACGGCAGTATACTTCATCGACAACTTATCAGGCGCCACCACCAAGAACCCTGCCATGCTATTAATCGTGTTGAGCTCAGTCGGTACCACCTCTTCATCCTCTTCCATCTCCACCGGAGCCTTAGACGAGTCGATCCGAGCCAGCTCCAAGGAGTATAAACCGAGATCTTGGCTTAAGCTATCGAAACTGTTGTTGATTCCGTTGTTGCACTGGATGGAGTTCATTTTTACCAAAGATATCTAAAAAGGAAACTCCAAAATTTCGTTTTAAGATATCCTTTTGTTCCTTGGGTTTTATTTTTAAAGTTTCGGTCTTTCCTGGAAGAAAAATGATTTTTCCTACAATTATTGAAATAGATAATATAAAATATGGTTGGTGGAGGTTGAGGTGCAGTCTAGGGAGGGTAAACAAAAGATCCAACGTATTTTATTTCAAATGTCTCCATCCTGATTTCAGCCTTGATCAAATATTGAGACACATGTCTGATTTAAAGCCTATGTATTAATCCTAATGTTTATTATTATTTCTTCCTTAAAAACATCACGTCCCACCCTTAACTAAGCTACAGATGCGTTGAAAGTTAACACAAGTGGAAATTTTGATTACAAAAATACATGTTGAAGAAATGTCCCTCAACTACACGAGCTTGTTTAAACAAACTCTAACATTTTTTTTATTTAGTTAAGCTTTTTAGCCTTTTATTTATATACAAGAAAACCTTTCATTTTAATCCAAAGAGGGGTTAATTTACACATAAAGTCCCTTAATTCCACTCAACATTTCTAGTTAATCCAACTTTTTTATTTTACAATTAAATCCTTAATTTCTTCCAAAATACCACTTTAAAATTAATACTAAAAAATTATAAAATTTAGCCCCTAAATTGGAGTGTGACAGTTTAAGCACCGAAACAGAAAAAAGTAATAGTTTAAGTACTAAATGTGTCATTTTTATCTCTCATTTTGTGCTATTGCCATTGCGTTGTTGTGGTCAATAAATGCCTCTTAAAGTCCTCGTTTTAGTGTTGTCGAATGATTTTTGATCCAATCCTTGTTGCCTTCTAGAATCGGTAAACACATAGAGCTATGTAGCCTTCACCATGACTCGACCTTGGTAAGAGACCATTGTCTCCTTTGGTTCCTTTCCCTAGCGTTTTTCCTCTTTTTCACTGAGTTTTACTAACCTGCTATTTTCATAACCTTGCATCTTTTAGAACCCCCTTAGCCACCATTGTTTGTTACACCACCCACAAACCCAGAAACACCCCAATCACTATTTGGAATAGTATGAGAACCCCTAATGCTAGATAGGTCAAGACTAGCCCACTAATAAGCTTGCCAATTGACCCAATGAGTCTACCCAACCTTACTTCAACCCCTGGTACATTTGTCAGAACTGAATGTTGGTGGACCAAAATCGGGACCACCAAGTTGAGGCATAGCCTAGTTGATCCGAATCAGATTACTGATCGAATTGGACTAGTGACCAAATTGGATCGTTGACTAAACTGACTATTGATCGACCCAATTTGACTTGACTCGGTTTGATCAAATCAATTTGACTTGACCCAATTTGATTGACCCATTGACTAGATATTTGGACCTGACACTTTGACTGTTGACCCATTGACCATCGACATTGACTTTTTCAAAAGGACTTTGACTTGACATTTTTTATCTCATGATTCCATTCCGCAGTCTATTTTAACCTAATTCTAATAAGTTAAGCTATTTTTCCATGTTTAACATCTGAATTAAGTCATTTACCTTATTTTTAATATGTAATATGCCATTATTGATGTAATCCTTTGTTTTTTTTTAATCTTCTCTGAGGATTATGCGGCCTTTGAGAGTTAAGCTTAAAGGCCATGGATTATTAAGTCAAATATACCTAAGTAACTATTCTGACTCTGATCATGTTTTATCAAACGTGTTTGAGAACTAATATATAAAGGATCACTGCTTCATATTATGAGTACCTATAAATGCTTAATTAGGTGTGTGTCTCACCCTTATGCTAAATTTATTTGTGTATTGTGTAAGATGATTGTTGAATCCCGCTGCTTGTAGTGTTAATATGTAAGTATGATTGATTTGATATAATATTACGTGTATGGTTGAACAATATATCTCATTATTCATTTAATACCACATTTTTTCATTTGAAAAGTTGTGTAAACACATACATCAAATACTTGAATCTCCTTTTATTGACACAAAAAGACTGATGGAGTCCAAATGTGTCCCTATAAAAGTGTAGCATAAGCTAACAGTCTCCAACACACCAATCATGTCCCCAAGGAATAGAGCTAAAGCATCATCTTCCAATTATCTGTCCTATATACCCCATTGAGGACTCAATCACCTCAAGATTACAAAACAAAATTGAGTAGACTCAATCATATCGCAAGCCAACTATATCTAATTATCTCAAGAGGAACAATATACAAATGAACCCATTGTACATGTGGAAATTTATTTTTTATGCACACTTTTCAGATTTGATTGTCATGTCCACAATCTTTAACACATTCTTATATCATATTTTCATAATCAAAATAATTCATTAATGAGTGCATGTAACACCCTCTTCCTGTATTTGTCATCGAAAACAAGTCAGAGATGTCACATTAAATTTATAAATTTTCCATATAAAAACCAGTAATTTTTTTTCTTTAAAACTATTATTGCTTAACAATAAACCATAATTTCATTTCATCACATAAAACACATTTCTAATTATTCGATATTCAAGCTAAGTCCATTTTCAGGCAGCAACCTACAGTTCATAAGTACAAAGTGTAACCAGTATAATTGCCTAAAAACTGCTTAAACTAAAATTCATTCGAGTACTGATTTAATATAGTTTTACCATATTGTTAACCTACCATCCATATTTAACTAAAAATACATTAATAAGACTATTTACCCAACACTCTAACTAATATCCATCGTTATAAGCATAAAATAGTTTATAACTTATTCTAAATTATGCTGAGCAAAGTTTATACCAAATACTTATAGCACATACATGCCAACTAGAAAAATCAATTAAATAAGATGGATGTCATTACTGATATTGTTGACTTGCTTCTTGATAGGTAAGATGCTAAACACTCCTTACTCTAATCTTTGCTCTTTACCTACGCATGAAAATCATCACACGCTAAGTATACACTTAGTGAGACATAATCAATTATACAAAGTAAAACATATCGATGATATAAAATAAAGCATAATGAAAATACAAAAATATCATATGAAATTATAGGAACATATAAAATGAACTTATACAAAAGACATTTTCAATTCAAAGATACTTGAATTCATCAAGTCATTTATAAAGCATTTTATGCCAAATCATTTATAATAAATGGAGAGTTTAACTTTCAAACTTATCTGTTATCACCTGCACTTTTTGATTTCCTTTATGTCATATCCCAATGTATATAAATGAGAATGTAAGGTACACGTCACATAGTATGCACATATTACAATTTAAGTGCCAGAAAAATATACGAGTATTGTAAAACACAAACATCATGTACCGAAAATCAGGAATACCACAGTATTAATATCACATTACTATGTATTGCATTCCCTAGAGTAACATATTACCAAAATCACATTACCATGCACTTAATGCAACTGCACACAATAGTACCAAAATCACATTACTACGTGCATAATGCAATTGCTGATACTTCACCTCTATGGATGCCAACTATATCGAGGACTCTCAATGTACATAGAATGGGCATTTCCATTAATTATCACATGTTTTTCAATTATCAAAGATAACAATATATCGAACATTTCATATAATAGAACAATGGGCAGCTCCTACCCTAAATATTTCATTTCCACATAACATGAATATATCACGAAAATATCATTAATCACTTACCTTTTTGACATGTAAACATCATCTCCATCATATGATAAATATCATAATTATCATGCTAATACAATAGAGTTGACTCGTCTCAAACCTTTAAAATAACATATAACATAAAGGTAATCATAAAATGCGTGATTTACCACTCATTTCCCTATTATGGTAGCTTGCACTATCCTTAAAGAATCATTTTTCTGTATTAATCTACATACTAGAATTTAGTTCCATTTGGTCCATTTGAAACTAGATTTGAATACAAATCTAACCATATACGACACTCTTTATAGTTAAACATGTACATTTATGGTGAATTTTCAAATCCAATTTACATAATCTGTTACCCTATTTTCTGACCTATCATTGATAAAAAAAATAATATATTCTAGTACTTACTTGAAAATTAGTCTCCGTTTGTAATACACAAAACTAAATTGACATAAAAATACAATGATATTAGAGTCACTTTCTAATCATTTTTATAGAATTTATAGTGATTTTCCAAATCTATTGTTAAGATCATTAAAAACTAGGCAGATTTCATCGTTTTGCATCTTTAGCTTATTCACTAATTCTATTGATCTTCTAAATACAAATTCAACCTAAATGCATGAATCACAAAGTCACATAATATTTAAAAATCACTTCTTACCATAATAACTCAGTCACTGGCTCATCGCAAGATAATGTTACATTTAACTTACACCATAAAAATGCATGCATCAACCAAAATGTAGTCTTCCGAAATCTTTATAAGTGTTGTCATCGTTTCCTTTGTTATTCACTTCACCTTGATTGAACTTGTATGGCTCACACACATCAATTTCACAACAACTAAAATCAAATACATATTGATGTGATCCCAATTATGCGCCTTACATCATTTTCTGCAATCTCCTTGAGACCGTTTGATCGAGGCAAGTTGTTTACATTCGGGAAGCTTCTAGAAGCTTATTCGAGCTTAATATGGGAATTTCAAACCAAGTTCATATTTTCGGAAGCCTTTTTCAATCCAAAAGAAGAACCTCCACCATCATACTCAAGGCTGGAACGTGAAGAAGGAACAACCAAGTTTAAGGGAGGATTTCATCCGAATAGTTGTGCATGAATTTGCATGAGAATTTAAAAGTTTGCATAACATTCATTGCATCTAATAAGTGCATTGTTCATTTAAGCATGCATCGTATTTAAAGCATCTAGTTCATTTAGGGAAGTAGTTCAGTTATGCATATTTAGATCATTTAGTAAGCTACTTCATTCATGCATCTAGTTCATTGAATAAAGTTAGTTCATTGAATAATGTTAGTTCATTAATCAAACTAAATCTTAA